TACATGTAGGATGTGTGAATACTTGATTACTTTTACTCTGAGAGGGTTTAAGGCTGCAATATTGAGAGTGAGCTTTAGCTTAGCTGATTTTATCTATCCTTAAAATTTTTATCACCGGTGAAGTGTGTAGTAATGGCTATGAAAGCAATTAATAACAGTAGTGACAGAATCAAGAGACTGACTAATTTATCATTATAGATTTTAATGAGGCCTATAATCTAGCAATAAATATACAATATATTCAAAACTATGGAATTATAAAAAGGATGATTTATTTAACTTTAATTCTAAACTAGTCTGCAAACCAAAGGTTGTAGAGAGTGGGCTTGTAAGAACATAATTCTTTTTGGTGTTATGGAGCAGAAGGATGAAAATCACAGAGGAAGAGAGTTTAAATTAAAATTAAAGGAGGGGGAAAATCATTGTTTATCTTCATTCAAAAGGCCTTAAAGCACAATAGTTTTATAGGTGTGGGAGGTACCTTGTGGACAGCTTCTTTTTCATCTCAATCTGCTCACTTGGCAGAGCCTGGGAGCTGCCTTGGATGCTGCATCCCTGCAGCTCTCAGAAGATGGGCAGCAGTGGAAGTGGCAGCAATACTTGGGAAAAGCTCTCTCAGATTTCAAACCAAGTTGGTGTAAAGAGACCCAAATGTGCAAAGTTATTATAATAAATTTAATATTCGGTGTTCAGTGTGGAAACTAGGCTTAGTTACTGGGTTAAAAGTGAAAATAATTTAGGTGTCATTGCTTAATTGGATAGTTTAGCCTTAAAAGACCTTGTGCAGGAAGATAGTTAGCCACTTTGTAGCTTGTTAGTAGAATGCTGTAAAACTCAAGACTGTCCTGACTTTGCATTGTGCAGCTCCTGTGACCATGGGTTGCTGTCATCTGCTTTGCAATGTGTGCTGAGCTCATTCTGAGAGAGATCAGGGCACATTCCAGGGACTCTCTGCTGCTGCTGCAGTGCTTACATTGCAGTCAGGGGTTTGCAGTGAACCCGTCTGAGCCCTGCTGCCTTACACTGGGGTAAAAACACACTGATGTCATGGTGGAATGGGTTCTGCATATTTAAAGAAGGTGCGGACAGTAATTAATTTATACACAGCCCCTGCAGATAGAGAAGCCAGACCACTGGTGAGACAGAAATTTGATTAGGAATTCATGTGAGACCTCCTCCTTTGTCCCAAGCTCTAATTCTGTAGTGTGGGAGGTCTTGTCAAAGTAGTCCTGAGTTCCCTCTGGTAGAAAGCCTTTTGTTCATGAGCAGGGGAGCTGTTCCCATACATCTCGTGTTCTTTACAGCAGTTTATTTTTGATAAGCTACAGCACGTTTTAATGTAATTGTTAACATGCCTAATTTGCAGCCACACAGTCGTATCAATAATAATGGAAAGTTGTTCACAGGTAATAAATTAGCATAGCATAAAACCAGCAGGACTCTGCTTCTCACTATATTGTTTCACGATCAAGAATTCAGTAGTTAAATATACACAGCAGTGGGCTGAGAACAAGCTGTTCATTTTTGCTGCAAGCAGTACCAGTGGACCAGAGTAATCATAGCTCCCAAAAGCAGGACTGATTTTATTGATTTTAAATAGGCTTTCATTACAGCACTGAGCTTATTCCAATTGCAAGGAGTATCACTGCTGTTTGTATTCACAGTGCTGGCTGAGGGAAGGAGAGGTTTTGTTTGATGCCATGTAGAGGCTCTTTGTCCCTCAGTGTTCTATTCTGCTCTGCTGAAGTAACTGAATTTATTATAGAAAAATAAGTACTCAAGGTTTTTTTCCTGTGGTTAAATTTTTTTAGATACATAGAGCCAGACCCAGTTCTCAAATTTTGAATTCTGAGTATTCTTCTGAGGAGTCAAAGTCTTGCTTATTTATTGACATATGACTTAGGGACCAGCTGTATTTTAGTTCCATTTCTTTAAAGGATTCTTTGGAAATCATGGAATCACTTTGCTTGGAAATGATGCTAAGATCACCAAATCCACCCAATTTAACCCAATACTGCCCAGTCCAGCCCTTAAACCCATCTCTAACACCACACCTGCACCTCTCTCTTTTTTCCATAGATTAACGTAAAAAAGGCAAATAAGAGAGCTGCTCAGTCTGAGATATTAATGTATTCAGGTTATAATTAGTGAAGAACACATGCTGTTACCAGCAATGTGTCATTAATCTGCATGGAGCAGTTTGCAGCTATTTGTTGCTAAATTAGTGACTCTTCAAAGCTGTCGGGTTTTTTTATTGTTTCTAATGATAAAAAAAATATAAATCTGTGACTAAAAATCCACATATGCACACTTAAGAAGCAGGCTGGTTTGTTATTTGGTTTTCTTTGGAGTTTTTGTGTTTGTTTTTGTGTTTTAATTTGCACCAGGCTGGTCAGTCAATGGCCATACACAGAAGTTGGTTGAAGCCTTAATGCTGTCGAAAATGTTGTACTTTGTGCTTTAAGGTGGTGTACAGGCATGTTGTTTGTGATAGGTTTTCTTCAAGTCCTTTAGGTGTAACTACAGAATTCTGCTTAAACATTTCTTCCAGTGTTACTAGAACAGTTTGGAAGGGTATTAATAGAAATTAGTTACACCTTTCTGGTTTTAATGAGCTTAATACTGACTTAAGGTATGTTTTTTGTTTTTTTTTTTCCTTAAACCTGAAGCTGAAGGTGAATTACTTCAAATATTCTAGCTAACCCCACATTTTTGTTTTGGCATGGTCTTTCATAACATAATTAGGGAATTCAGGCAGGAACAAACAAAAACTTTGTGTGAGCATTTCTAGAAATCAACTCTTTAGATAAGGTGGTGACATTAAGGAGTGTATCAACTTGGTAAGTACTGAATGATCAAGCCTAGTTACTGTAAAATGAGATCTGGACGGTTTATTTAATTTTAGAGAGTTTGGGCAAATAATTATGGAATTAAACTGCTTGCTGTTGGTTTCCTGGAGGGCATGAAGAACCTGCTGTACTGTGCTCTGCTGAGCTGCTGCATTGATTAGTTCTTCAGGTCTAATCTTTACTTGGCTGTGCTCATTTTCTATCTGTTTGTTGATGGGTTTGATAGCTGTTTTTCTGAAGTTACTCTATTGCCTTGATAGTCCTCTGGTGGATTATAAAAATGCACACATTAATTCCTTTCTTTAGCTTCATTTGTTGGAGCCCAGTGGAGATAATTGGTGCTCATGGAAGGTTGGGAATGAGGGTGATGATCACTCCCAGAACTGATACCACCCATCACTGACAATCAAAGCTCACATTTTCAGGATGGCTGGAAGCTAAAATTGATTTAATTAAATGCTTACAGCATCTCTTAACAATACCATATTAGATTCTTTATCACAGCAGCTACTGTGATTTTTAGAGTTTGCTTGTGCAGGTTGAAAAGTGATTTATAGTTTTAATTCATCTTAATTTGTGTGCTTACGAAACATTTTAGATAAAACTTTTTGTTGCATTTAAATTTCCTTGTTATCTGCCCTGCAGTGGCATGAGTAATAGGGAGCCCAGAACATGAATATATTGGAATGCATGAAGTATTTTCAAGGAGAATGCTTTTAAAGTTCAGAGTGATATATGTCAAATGTTACTGAATGGATAAGCATGTGGAGAAATTTTAGCCTCCAGAAGCTTAGAAATTAAACATTTCTTAGTACAGTATCTGTGTTAAAAATAATTATTAATAATAATAGTAACTACTACTATGTTAAAGTATAATGCCTGTGTTAAATAGAATATTTGTTTCATAATATTTCTCCTATTCTAAGGTTCAATTTTTCTTTTTGTAGCTGCTGAAAGTTATTATACAGGCACTTTGAAATGATGCTGTGTCAGAGCTTGCCTGCACCAAAAATTGCTGCACCTCTAAACTTATATTTAATAATCTTTAAAATGTTTTTACAGCCTAGAAGGCCTGTATGTGTTTGATTGAAAATATCTGTATCCTCTGTACCAATTAAAGAGTAAATTTGTCAATTTAACAACAAATCCTCATGTTTCCTTGGTACTTAGATAAAATATTATTGTCTGAGGTGTGACCTAATCCAAACACCACTGAAATCTGAGATTTCCACAGACTGCAGGAGAGAGTAACAATGACCCTTTTCCAGGCACACTTAGTGATCTGGTAATATTAGGATTTTGCAAAGCAGCCAGCACTGTTATGATGAATGTGCAAAGTGGCAGTGGTTGTTGTTAATAAACATCCTGAAGGCACCTGGGAGGTGTTCATGGTTCAGGAATTTGCTGTGATCTGGAGCTGCAAAGATGATGAGTGGTGGTTTGGTTTGGTTTGGTTGGTTTTCTTTTCCCTTTTTCCCCCCTGTTTGACTCTGTGAGGATGTCAGGATTGCTTTTGTTTGGAATGTAGGATATGGTGCACTTGCTTTTGTCACTGTCTTGCAGCTCTTTTGTGTTACTGAGGCTGTTACACTCAAATTGCCAAAGATCCAGGTGATGCCTCACAGACAGATGAAATGTTTTCATTTCCCAGCTCCTGCCCCTGCTCTGCACTCACCTGCCCTTTGGACATAGGGATTTCTGCTTTAAGAACCACATCCATGCATTTCCTTCCATGTGTTCAGAGCAAGGAATGAAATTTATTTCCCTTGATGAGCTTGTTTTGTTGTGCATTCAAGGCAAAATATGGTCTGATTTATGTTTAAAAACTGTGCCAGTGTGTGTGCTACGGAGCTGGGCTGGTTGTGTGTGGTTTGTTGTGCAGGCCATGGAGCATTAACAGCTTGGTTCTGATCTCCACAATGACTTATTTATCCCTCCGATAAGCTGTGTATCCCTTAAATTCCTTGAGCAATTCTTTTTTTGGCAAGGTTGCTTTATAGAAGTGATGAATTTACTCTTCTTTTGTTGCTCACTAGTTATAAACAATTTCTTGTTGGTTTAAGAGTCCAATCTGGAAATGCTTTCTGATCTCATACTAACAAGCTCAATAATTGACAAACCACAGAATTGCAATGTGTTTTTCTTTTACAGAGGCAAAGGAAATTGTTCTGAAGGCACAGATTCTGGCTGGAGGGAGAGGGAAAGGTATTTTCAATAGTGGATTGAAAGGAGGAGTTCATCTAACTAAAGAGTAAGTACTTTCAATTGGAAAAACTACATAAATAAATTGCTTCTTGTATAATATTTAGGCTGTTTACAATAGCTATGGACTGTTTCTTTTAATAGTTTTCAGTAAACTAACATTTTTGCTTTGTTTGTAGCCCTAAGACTGTTGAACAGCTTGCTAAACAGATGATTGGGTACAATCTGTCAACCAAGCAAACTCCAAAGGATGGTGTGACAGTTAAAAAGGTAAGATTTTGGCCTCTTGAAAGTTGAAAACTATGTTCAGCTGCAGTTTTGCATTAATAAGCTGGGATGTACAACATAGGTGTTTTTCCAATCCTTCTCCAATTCCTGATTGATTACATCTAATTGATTAAAAAAAAAAAAAAAAGAAAATGTTGCTTCTTCAGTTGGTGTATATATTTTGTTCATCAATTTTGCCATACCCACCAATGGAAAAATAAATTGTTTTCTCTGTGAATATTGAAAGGAATCCTTTGTCATAGGCTTATCTCCCAACAAATAATTTCTAAATGGTGATACAGCTGCACTATAGCATTAGCTGTACACGCTTATTGACATTCTGCTTACAGAAACAGTAGATATATGGTTCCCTTTAGTAATAATATTATCTGTACTTCAGACACCCTCAGGTCTGTGCAAGTCTTAACAGAGTGACAGATGAATCACAAAATGGTTTGAGTTGAAAGGAATCCTTAAAATTCCTTCAGTCCAACCCCGTGCAATGAGCAGATGCATCTTCAGCCAGATCAGGCTGTTCAGAGCCCCATCCAACCTGGCCTTGAAGGTTTCCAGATATGGGGCATCCACCCTGCTCCGGGCAACCTGTGCCAGTGCCTCACCACCCTCATTGTAAAAAAATTCTTTCCTATGTGTAGTCAAAATGTGTCTTCTTTAGAACCACCTTGACTTATTGCAACAGGCCCTATTAAAAAGTTTGTCCCTATCTATTATTGTATGCCCCCTTTAAGTATTCAAATTTTTGCATGAGATTTTTTTCTCAATTGAAAAAAAGTTTCTGAACAGTAGATTATCTCTTCCTGTTGTAGATACAGACTAATGTATATTCATGGTAGTGGTTGAGGTACCAGATAACTAGAATTCATTTTCCAATGATGGTGCTTTCTGCAAGGCACCAAGATTCACTTCAACATAAATTATTTGTTCTGTATTGGCCTAAATAAAGGAAGCAAAGATTCAATAAGTGTCTCCTTCAAATTAGTAAAATTCTTTGAGTCAGGAAATCCTGGCAATTGCCTAGCTGTTGTATCTGGTTTTACCTCTTGCTTTGTTTGACTGAGCAAGAATCCTCATACAGGTAAGTAGTCAAGAGCCACACTGTGTCTGATGCCAGGAAATAATTTGGCATGAGCTGAAGGAGCTGCAGTTCACATTTAATATCCTGTGAACAGCTTGGTGTATTAGCAGAGAAGGGAAGGAACACCTGTCTGGAAAGATCCTGTCTAATGAGGGTGGAGGAAGGTGTTCAGGCAGTTCTTCTCTGGGGGGGCAAGGAGAGCAGATTTCCACCCACTCCTCAGAGCTGTTCTTAAAAAGAAATACTATATATTAAAATAGGAGACTCAGTATTACCATTAAGGCATGTCTGTCAGAGATCCTGATAACGCTAAGGATATAAGACAGGATGTACCTTTTCCATATTAAGGCACTCTGCTCGGGAAAATTAGTATTGTAAAAGCAGCTTTCCTTTATAAGTTCTTTGTTTTTATTCTTTTGCCCTAGTTGGCCTGACTTGAATACATCCATACAGATAATTCTACTTTTTTGTCAGAGTGCAAGGCTGTTCATCATTGACAGATTCAGTTCTAAAACAGAAGCATCTAATTTTCTTTGGAATTGATAGAAATGGAAGAAGGAAATGGGTATTGGGGGCACTTTTGACGTGGGTTATTCAAAGGATTTAAATTAGGATGACTTTTGTGCCATATAGCTATAGACTATTTGAACCTGTGGTTCTTTTCTCCCCTCCACATGTTTATGTGAATGAACAGAGGGCAGGACCAAGCAGCTGGGGCAGAGGTGAAGTTTGAAGTGAAGTTTGCACTACTGAGCTTCAGATATTTATTTCGGTGGTACAGGATTGTGAACAGCCCTGAGAGACTGTGTATTCTTCCTTTGCTATAGAGTTCCAGGGAAACTGGTATTTTAATGCTGATCCATGATAAACCAATGTGATGCTTTTCCCTGGGAGAAGCTGATGATTTGCTCATAGACTTTCATCTTGATTACAAAGTTGGCTTTTAAAAGTATGTTGGCTTTTAACTACTATGTTTTATATTTTTTGGTATTAAGTTCTTGAATCTTAGTAATTAATGCTAAGAGCATACACCCTGCTTTAAATTAATTCAGTTTGTCCAATGTCATGCTTATTAGATAGTGAAGAAAGCATGTTTAAAATTATGCACTACTTCATCTAAAAACTGTTTCCCAGCAGAATTATGTCTGTTTTAAAAGAATTTCTCATTTACAAAGTTAGCTCACGTTGGGATATTAAAGGTAGTTAGAGGAGCTGAGGCACTCAGGTTTGTGGTGTCAGGACTACAAAATCAAACACTGACATTTTAATCAAGGGGCAAACTACAGTAATATTATTAAACATATAAATTTAGCTAAGTCTGAGATATCATTTAATGCAGTGGGAATGTAATGCACTGAAAATGCCAGGCAAGCTCTTTGGGCTTGCTGAGGGCAGTGGCGAAGGTGAGAACAAATGACTGGCATTTTTCTATTTCAAGGCACGTACTTTCTCTCTGCATGTATGGAAGAGTTTGTGTTCTACATGTACTTAAGGAAAATTGCATTTCAGGAAGAAAAGGATTTGGGCCTTTTAAACTTTCCAGTGTTCTGGATGTTTGAGTGGTTTAAAATACTCCTATGTTTAAAAAAAATAGATAATAAGCATTTTTCAGAAGGAAAATATTTATTATGTCACTTTCTGTGAGACAAGAAATGAGCTAGTGTCAAGTCAGGGAGTGGAAGTCATGTACCTTTTACATCTATTTGTAAGGAAGGTATAAAAGGTAGAAATTTTCTACAATTAGAATAATTATGAAACAGAAAATGATGGTTTCAGCTTTCTTTCTCAGCTTGTGCACCTGCTGCAGAATTTAAAGTGTGTTTGTGCCTGTTCAGATTGATGTTTCCCAAATTAATAGCAATCTCTTCAATTCCCTCATAACTTGGAACCTGTTTTGTGAGTTTGCATAAAATCCTCTTATGGCATTTGGAATTTGGAGAGCCTATCTGTGATGACAGTCTTCTCTTATCATGACAACCTGAGAATTCACTACCTGTGTTTTTCTCTCCAAGCCATCATGACAACCTGAGAATTCACTACCTGTGTTTTTCTCTCCAAGCCATAACAGAATGATTATTTTGCATATTTGATTCTGTTTGAGAAAAGCTGTTACAGTTACCCTCATGACATTAGATGTGTGACTTAAACTTTTAGGTAAAGATTTGTTACAGAGAAGCAAAGCTTGAAGTTGTCAGGAAGTTTTAATGAAAACTGATTTTTCCCCAGGACATTTTAAATATAAATATGATATGGTAAACAGATAATGATGTGTCATATTCTTTATCAAAAGCAAAACAGACAAAATGTGAGGAGAGTCAACAGTCTGTAGATTCAATTTCACTGTTCTTAACTGTTCATCAATGTGTTTGCATTAGTTCTGTTCTGTGAGTGATAGGTAGACTTAAATGATATTTAAAGACCTGGAACACCAATTTCCTTGGCTTTGCTCTGCATCAAACAGGGAGGATCGTGAAGGAAAGTTATTTTGTTGGGAGGAATTAGAGATATTTCACAATCTAACAGTTTTTGCTCTAAGGTTTCCTACTGCAAAGTAGACTCTCAGTAGTTTTGTGAATTAAGACAGAGAAGTATCCGATGATGTTGACATTGTTAATTAGCAACAGTGAGGACAATCACTCAGGCTGGAAGTCTCAGTTGAAAATATCTGATTTAATAATGCTACTTCCACCTGCTGTGCCTGCAAATGTATTCCTCAAAACTTGTTGAGTGTATTCCCATCCCAAGTCTTGTCCTGACCCTGAGCTCTGTAGAAACTGAAGAGCTCTGACAAGATCCAGTAGGACCAGTTGGTTTTATCTGACTTATGTCTAAAGCAACTGACTCACATTTTTCAGATACATTGATGCAGGATATGTAAGAAGGGGAAAACATGGATGCAGGTAAAAATAGTAGCAAATCAAGGATGCTTTCCCTACCCTTGCTTGTTAATTTGACAAAGCTTGGCAGGTAGCCAAGCTATGTCTCTGAAGTTGTCTTTTAGCATCCCTCTGTAGTAGACTAAAATAGGCAGATGCTTTTAAGTAGTACAGTAGTTTTCTGCATTCTTGGTTCTCTCTTTCACCCTGCTTTCTTTAGTTTCCTTTTGAACAGTTGTTTATTTGAACTATTCCTTTACATCCCCCTATGTTGTGTGAATAAAGTGAGGTAAAAGAAGAAGGAAACAAAATTACTGTAAAGCAAATTTCTTCCAAGTCAAAAACACCATAAAGAAATTTCATCTTTCCTTCAATTCTGAGCAGTGATGGCTTTATTTGATTTCTTGTTTCTTACAGTTTTTTCTCCTCTAATACCTACTGCCTGGCAGAAAGTACCTATATTCTTTCTTATGTACTCTGGAACAGACTGTCAGAAATGTGACTTGGGTGAAAGTATAGTGCATCTTTCTTGTTTATAGCCCTTGAACTATGAAAACCCAGAAATACTCATTTGATGGAGCACCTTGTGCCAGGTAGGCAGAGTTTTAGGGCTGCAGGTACAAAAATGCCTCTTGGATTTGCTGACTGAGAGAATGAATTTCTCCTTGTGGTTTATTCAGTGATGGTCATTGTCTGCAGTCATTGTTCAAAACTGTCACTTCAGAAACAGACCTTGCTAGAAAGATGTTGCCATTTAATCCTTCTTAATTATTTTATTACTTGGGAAGTGATTTTCCTGATTTCTACCACTTCCATTGAAAGATGGGAATTAGAAGCTCTTTTAAGGAAGAATGTAATTCTAATTAAATTGCAGAGGTGGCTACTTCACTTTCAGATTGAAAAAGGGAAAAAGGTCACAGGGTTGTAGTAGTGCAGTAAAAGCAGTGAAACCAATGTTTCTCTTCAGGGTAGCGAGTATCAAACTGCTGCATTTTAAGGCAAAGCAGAAATACCTGTCAGAACCACTGATGTTTTCTTTTTTCCCTCTCTGCATTTTAGGTGATGGTTGCAGAAGCACTGGATATTTCCAGGGAAACGTACTTTGCAATTCTGATGGACAGAGCCTGCAATGGACCTGTCATGGTTGGCAGTCCACAGGGTGGTGTGGACATAGAAGAAGTTGCAGTAACTAGTCCAGAACTTATCTTTAAGGTACTGGAATAATGTTCTGCAATAACATTTTTCTCTGTCAGTTATCCAAAAGAATATTTTCCCCCCTTTCTCCTTCCATTTTTCCTTCCCTGTAAAAAGGAGACAAGAAGAACCATAAAAATAGTGTTTCATCAAATACAGGATCATACCTACCATCTAGTAAATGAAGCATATTTAACGTCTGATTTTACTAGAATTTTTCAATTAGAAAAAGATCTTAAACCTGGCTGTTATGTGATATGTTAAACTTAATATCTGAAATGTTTTATGAGTGAGTTTTACTTTCAGGAAGGTACACTGTTTTTTCACAGGTGGTTTGGTGCCAATACACTTATTGTTTCTGTGGCTGTTTTTCTCTAATTGACAGAGTTGTTAATTATTTTTTTGTACCTGCAAGACTTTTGCATCTGAAATACAACTGTTGTAATTGCTTTCTTAATGATGACTACACTGAAGTATTTTTTAAGTTACTGTGGCATGATAATGAGTAGATAAGCTATTCAGCTGAGAAAATAATTGATACTATCAAGTATAATTATTCAAAAAATTGTAAAAATATTTAATGTGCACTTAAAAAAATCATATAAACTTCACGGTGTTACTGGCCAGTGACACTCATTGCCTTGAAAATATTCCAGAATATGTCATAAAAATTAACAGACTAAATATTCGTCAATGCCATCTGTACAGTAATTAAAAGTGAAAACTGGTGTCACATTCTCTTGTCAGCATGCCACCCTGAAGAATTATATATTTTTTGGAAGGACTGTTTCATAGTCAGTGTGGTAATTATAACATCCCCTATAGGCAGCTGCTGTAGCCTCAGTCTCAGGGAGCCTTGGCAAACAGCCAGGCTTTAATTACTAATTTGCACATGTACACTAAGTGTTTTCCTTTTCAAGCTATAACCCTCCATTCTGATTGAATATTTAGTTATATTCATGCATGTTACTGTTGCAGGAGGAAATAGATATTTTTGAAGGCATAAAGGATCATCAGGCATTGCAGATGGCAAAAAATTTGGGATTCCAAGGACCTTTGCAGCAGCAGGTAACTTGACTCCACTCCCTGGCTTTAGGCTGGGGGCATTTAAAACATTTTTAAATGTTTTCCAATAGGAAAGGCCACTTGGAAAGGCCAAGTGTCCATTAAATCAGGATCATTTTGACATTCTAAATACTAAATTGCTCTATGTAATTGTCATTAGGCTTTAGCATTTTGAATAAGCTCCTTCTGGTTTTAAAGTGTGAGTCCCTTCTCTTTTTAGCAGTTGATGGCAACATGCTGTTTCCCCATGTGGGATTCCTTTGTTTTCACTGGAATTCCACTGGAGCTCTGTAAATGGCATGGGTAGAGCTGGTTTTGAAAATTAGCCTTTAAAATGAGGAGAAATAAAAGTGTATCTGGCTTTGTGATTGGAACCTTTTAAATTTTTTTTATTTTTCAACTCAAAAACAAAAGGCTGACAGCATGTTGTGTTTTCAGTATCTCTTTTCTGTACATATATATTTTGAATATATATATTTGCCTATGTGCATCATTTTGGACAGAAAAGAACTCATTTAAGCTGGCTTGGTTTTTTTCTGCAGTATGAAACTCATTTTTGTAGAACTACTTTATTTTTAATTCAGCAGTTTTAATTCTTTTCTATCCTAACATGCAATTAACAAATGCATAATGATTAAGTTGATTAACACACATTTGAAGATTTAGCTGTATATATAATGAGGAGGAATGATTATGTAGAACCTTTCAACCCTTGAAGAGTTCTGGTACTTAATAATTAACAGCAAATATGTATGGACTTTTAAACAACACATTTAAATAATGCTGCTGGAATGCATTTCTTCCCTCGTGTAGTCAACTAAAAGGAATTTACTGAAGCACAGGGACATCCTTTTTATCCAGACAAATCCTGGTATTTACTTATACATTCTCTAGTTCTAGGCTGGGATTTTCTGCTTGAAGAGGCTCAGTTCTTACAGACCCTGAGAAAGGGAAGCGTTGACATTGAGCTGCCTGATTGAGAGAGGTGCTGAAAGATGGAGCAGCCTTTAATAAAAGTGAAGTGATTCTGGTGTTCTGGTGCCATTGCAGAGAGCTCTGTGACAGCAGCAGCTTTCCAGAGCCAGTGTGGGGTCACGGTGGTGCTGCCTCCCCAGTGTCACTGCTGAGAGCTCCCCCCGTGCTCTTGGGGTGCTTTGTCAGCCTGAGGGTTTGTGCCAAGGAAGCTGCTGCACATTTACAACTGATGGGTTTTTTAGGGTCAAACCCACTGAGAATGCTTTGATAACTCTTGAGGAGGGCAGGCTTCCAAAGGGATTTGTGCCGCTTCCCAACTGTGGCTCTTTAAAGAATCTTATCACAGAATCACAGATTAATGTAGGTTGGAAGGGACCTTAAAGGACATCCAGTTTCAACCACCCTGCCCTGGGCAGAGGCACCTTCCCCTAGATCAGGTCACTCAAAGCCCCATCCAGCCCAGCCTGGTACATTTTCAGGAATGAGGACTCCACAACCTCTCTGGGCAGAACTGGGATTGGGGTTGAGTCTTTCCACTTTTAATGTTTTCATGACTGACCTCATAGGGGAAAGCTGACTTATGCTTTCTTTGTTCTAAATCATTTCATTTCAGGTCCGAAGTATTCTTGGGTTGTGTACTTCAGTTAGCTGATCAGTAATGAGAGGGAAAAAATTGAGTGGTTCTTTATTAGTGCACTTCATCTGCAAACTTATTTAAGCTAATAGGTTCACAGTGTGTAATGAACCAGAGGGATTTTTTAATACACATTCATGTTGCTGTTTTTAAGTAGTTCTATTAGTGGAAAAATATTAAAATAACAAAAGACTTGGAAATTAGTAGTCAGTGGTGATATTTTCAGCCATGGAATCAGGCATGGAGATAGATGGTGAGGAGTAGTAGGGAACAAGCAAGAGTGTCATGTAATGAGTAAACAAGCAGGCCTCAGATGTGAGTTCTTCAAGAAAAAAAAATCAGACTGATGTTGGAAGGAGAAATAGGAAAAATAGATTTTTTTTGTGAAGTCACCAGAGAGCACAAACTACTTTGTGGTTTCTGACTTTAGACTGATTAATGTGAATGCAACTCAGATCTTGGTGTACCAGAGAACATTTCATTATGCTGGTGCCTTCAGTCACTTCCCAAATTAAACTTTTCGTAATAATTGCACTGTCTATTTTGTACAAAATCTCCAGTTTGTATAGTCTTTAAATGCACATTTACTAAATCTTACACAGTAGGATAATGCTGCACTGTAACAGCACAAGTGACTATATGAATATGGTTAAGAAAACAGAAATAAAAGCAGTAATTATCTAGAATTACTGTGCAATGTAATACTTTAAAAATAATCGATAATGGTCTACCTTTGCCTTGCAAACATGGACTTTTATTTTTCTGTGTGGTAATTGTAAATCATTTGATCACATTTAGGCAGCAGATCAAATTAAGAAGCTGTATAATCTTTTCTTGAAAATTGATGCCATTCAGGTTGAAGTCAATCCCTTTGGTGAAACTCCAGAAGGGCAAGGTAAGAAACTGAAGGAAACGAATGAATGCATTATAATTCTTTATTTATGCAAACTATAAATTAAATTGCATAGAAGGATGTAGCAGCAGCTTTGCATTAATTTCATTTTGTAATGTAATTTAAACAATATTCATAAATATTCCCTTGGCAGATTTTATATTTCCTTTTTATAATACCTTTTTATTGTTCCATCCAACTACTGGAAGTATTGGCTTCTACATGTTCTGCTTGGTGAGAGACAGGAACATTTTCTGCTCTTCTGCTCAAGTTCAAAGTTGGGGTTTTCTTGGTTTTGTTTTGTGGAGGGTTTTTTTGGGTTTTTATGTCTGCATTCATAGGGATAATTAAAACTTTAAAGTGCATAACTCTGCAGTCTACTAGAGCACAGGACAAATTTCAGCTGAAACAGACACTTGGCCACATCCTTTGGGAAGAAGAAGGGTCATTGATCTTCCTGTACCATGACTACAGGGCTGAGGAGGTGTAGGGTAAAACTGAGGAGCTGAATTAGCTCTCACCTCGTTGTAACAGTTGGTATTCCAGCCAAAACCTTTCCTTCCATTTAGTATTTTTGTCCAAGTAACTTGGACAAAGGTGAGAAGCAGAGGAACTAAAGGTGTCTGTGGGATATTGAAATAAGGTAGGGCTGATCCAGGGGGATCACAGTTACCTCCTCACTGCTCCATTTCACTGAAGTGCTGACAGCTTATTTGGTGAGTACCAAGAGGAGAAATTGGTGTGGAAGAAGAAGCCAGTGAGGGAGAGGACAGAAAGTAATGAGAGGAAATAAAACGTGGTCTTTAAAGATTGGAAAGAGCCATGGTGGCACTCACCTTGCATCCTTGCTGGAGGTGGCTCTGTGGAAATACAGATTTGGATGAGTTACCAAGTTAGCTCTCCTGGAATGGCCGTGCATATTTAGTGAGCAGGGCTTAATCTGAGGCATGGTAGGAGTTTTTGTGCTGTTTTCTCTGAGGTTTTTCCCCATGTGGTTTGCATCCAGGAAGCTGAGGAGCAGAAACAGAGTGGGTTTCAAGCTGTGAAAGGCTTCTTGCTCACAGAAATGCACAGGAATCTTCCTGTGCTTATTCCTTTTTTGCTAGCAGTTTCTCCATCTGAAATGTCTTTAAAGAAGAATAAAGATAAAACAAATGAAAGAACATTTGAGTAGCTTAATGCAGCATCTTCCTAATGACAAAATAGAAGTCTCTGTATGAAGCCCATGATTCTTGTCAAAGTAATGGATAAGATGGATTTACTTCTTGCTGTGTTTTGTGCTTATCACTTGCATGGATTTCCATCAGGTTGTATGTATTTCCTTATTTAATATCCTAGCAAATTATTTGTTAACACTAATGGGTCAGGAGCCTGAAACTTCCCTTTTTTGTTGTTGTTGTTTGTTTTTGTTTTGTGTGCTCTCAGTGTAAACTATTGAATTGGCAGATGACAATTTTGGTAACAAAAACAACAGAAGTACTTCATGAATATAAGTGTTGGAGCATTCTTTGATATTTGTTTGGAAGAAAAATCCATTTGTATAGTCATACATGTAACAATGTGCTTTTGATAGTGAAAATGGTTTGATAAATATTAATACACGTTTTTGCTGCTACTTTGTACATCACGGCCTTTGTTAAAGATGAATGTTCTGTAGAAATGAGTTTCTATTGTGACATGGAGGATGTTTGTGTGTAATGTAAACAACTCTGAAACTACAGTTGTACTCTAGCTTTGAGTGGATTTAGCAAATTTAAGCACCTGAAAGCTTGAAAAGGAAAAAATGTCTTATTTCATTGCTAAAAAATAAATTAAAACAGCATTAGAAGCATATTAGAAATTGCAAATATTTCTGCTTTTGCACATACCCACATGATGATTGACCAGGTAAGATCTGGACTCTTCCAAGAGATTTATTGTGCACACTCATGAATAATTTTCTGAAACTGCAGTCACTGAAGTTAAATTTGATAGCTTTAATTTAATCTGTTATCAGTTACAAGTCATATATTAAAAATTTTTTAAAAAATCAACATCAAAAAACCAAAACAAGAAAACCCAATGCAAATCAAGATATACAGCTGAGACTCTCCTACTTTTGTAAATGTTTTGTTTGCTGTTTCCTTAGCTATCTTTTCCTAAGTTAAGAAACTGTATATTGAACAGAGTTACATTTCCACCGGACTAAAATTGTCCTCTTAATTGTCATTGACCTCCAGATGTGTGCAATGCTCAAGAACACGTGCACAGTACCATGGACATGTCCCAGTGGCAATGTGAATAAAAAACACCAGCAGATGGAAAAACTATTAGGTTTTTGTGGACACAGCATTTAAAGGCACTTAGATTTGATTGGTTTGTCTTGAGAAATCAATTATGCTTAAGTCAGTAATTATAATCTGAATATAGTACAAGGGAAATTACTTGCATGGTAATATGATAAGTATAGAGTCTTACATTTGCTTAGAACATTTTAATCTAATGAGGCATTTGCCTATGCAAACCCATAGAAATAATGAGTCAGAAAATAGGCAAATAGCACTCTACAGGCATTTCTGTTGCTGCTGTGTTTATGGGAATACTGGGCCTGCTGGCCAGTTCTTTGTGTCTTTTATTTCATGTAGTCAGATTTAGCAACTTCTTAATTTGTTTTTATAACCATAGTGGATGTTGATATCAATGAGAAGGTTTCTAATTACTTTTCTAATTTTCTTTATTTAAAAGTAATGTTTTGGTCATTTTTAATCTATTTGGTTTCAGAGTTTTTAAGCTCTTGAATGAAATAATGCATGTATAGTTAACAACATCAGGAATGTCAAAATATGGCTAAGGAAAGCATTTTGTTTTGCTCATCTCTGAATGACTGCATGGCTTTGGGTTGGTGTTGCCTGTTATATCTGTTATTCTTTCAAAATATGCAAAGTAAACTCTCCTGTGTCATTGCTGCAGCCCACCTGTCCAAATGACAAAAACTGCCCTCCTAACATACAGGAGCTTTGTTTGCAGCAAACACAGAAAACCTTCCTGTGTGCTGTGGAGATCTTGCTGTGCCTTCTCTCAGCAGAGGATTTGTGGAGAACCTGTCCTTTCCTGCTGGACTCGGTGCTGGAGCTTCAGCTGCTCCTGTGCTGGAGGCAGCATCATCCCAAATTCCCAAAGCAGCCTCCCTTCTCTGCTGGAGGATCTGCAGTATTTCAGGAGCTCTGGCTGACTGTAAACTCTAAATTCCTGGCTGTTGTTTTATTCTCTCCTCCAGTTGTTTGCTTCGATGCCAAGATAAACTTTGATGACAACGCAGAATTTAGGCAAAGGGAAATATTTGCCATGGATGACAAGTCTGAAAATGAGCCCATAGAGAATGAAGCTGCCAAATATGACTTAAAATATATAGGACTCGATGGAAACATTGCTTGCTTTGGTAAGAACAAATACATCCAAAAGACATTTGAAAACAAATTTATGCTTGTTCAGTGTAGAGACTTTGTTTACATCTGACATTCAGGTCACCCTTTACAGGATTTCAGTTTGTTTTACTGAGTGTTTCTGCAGTTTTGTCTGTCCTTCCACAAGTTCTTCCAGGAATGAAACTAAAATTGTGTACAAATTGTGCAACCTAAATGTTGATGTGTTTGCACCAGATTTTGAATTATTTGTTGCATTGGATGTCCTTGGATAGCTACTAGTATTTAGAAATAGCTGTGTAAAATTTTAAGCCATGTTCTGGGGTTGTGCTGATACATTTAAAGCCTTTTCACAAATCTCATCTGTGTGAATTATAAGCACTTTGATGTTTGCAATTACAGTCAATGGAGCTGGACTGGCAATGGCAACATGTGATATAATATCCCTGAATGGTGGAAAGCCAGCCAACTTCTTGGATCTGGGAGGAGGTGTGAAGGAAGCACAAGTCTATCAAGCATTCAAACTGCTGACTGCTGATCCCAAGGTAAAAATGTTGGGTTTGGACTGGGAGCTTCCCTGTGCAGCAGCAGGGCTGAGCAGGACCATGAATAGTGCAGAGAAAAACCCAGATCATAGTGGGAACACTGAGAGTGAGTTCCTAATGGGCTGATCTGGGAGGAAAATTAATTCAATAGAAACCACTGGACAGATTTTGCAGCTCCTGATCCATACTCAGGCTGGCTGGTGAGTTGTGAGTGGGAACTTCCTCAAGGCATTTCAGCACAGGGGTGCAGGTGTGCTAATGCTGGGCATTGCAGTGCTGAACTCAGAGCACCTCACTCCTGAAATGGAATTTGTGAGACTTAGGTGTTTAAAATAGCATTCTTAATAGTGTTGTACCACAATAGACTGAGGAGAAAAATGAGAAAATTAAGCAAATAGCTAATTCCAAGGGTGATTTGTACTCTTTTAAACTCAAGGTTTCTAAAATATCTGACTCTGCACTGCAGGATAATCTGTATTTAATTAACATTCCCAGGCTGGAACGTTCTGACACTTCCTTTTGCAGATGGAGCTGCAGTTGCTCTTTTCTTTTTTGAACAAGAGGAGAAGACATTAGTCTGTGTGTACTGAGTAGAAGTTATTTCTAGAGATGTGTGTTGAGGTCACTGGTCCCCTCTGCAGGCAGAACTGGAGTATCTGCTGAGAGAATATTGATCAGGCGTGGGCTCTGGAGCAGTGCCAGCTGCCCATCCTGCCAACGTGCAGCTCTGCTTTTGTGTGCAGCCAGAGCTTCCTTGCTGCTGATATTTTTACTAATCGGAATCTGTTGGAGGGCTTTGATCATCTTTCCCATCTCCTGTACCTAAGCATCACAGCTGAAGTCCCTATTTCAACATATTGCTTCTTTTTGTGGATCTGGCTTCGTCCCCTGTATCTCATGTTTGCTGTGATTCCAGTCATTTTCCTCATGTTCATTGTGATGTGATATTGGCTTCTAAATGCCACCTTCCTGTGACAATTACATTGCTCTAATTGTATGCTCTGTGCAGCAGAAAGTGACAAAATGCTGTGGCTTTTCAAATAGAGGTGTGTATTGTTTGCAGCAACATTTCAAGGTAAAATTAGGAAGAAAATTTACAGTACAAAATAAGCACAGGTCAACTTTATACTGTAAGCTCTTTGCAGTTGCAACTCTCCCTGCATATTTTATAAGTACCTGGTACCTTGATGTCTCAAGTGTTTGTTGTTTGAGTTATTCTGCAGTGTTTGCTTGGTGTGATGATCTGGGTTTGCCTGAGATGTAATTTAGTTCTGAAACTTGTGTTAGTGGTAGAGAAGCAGGTGCAGTAAGGTCTCAGATACACAACTTAGCTGGTGATTATCACTGTGCTGAGTAGTTTGTACTGTCTGCTGCAGCACAAACAGCAGGTATTAATTTTGGTGATGAAGCTGACTGAGTTTAAACAATTTTAAAACAAAAAGGCATTCTAGTAGCTCTCAGCTATAGAACATCTGCGTGCCCAACATTTGACTTGTGTTATATCCTTCTATTACCCATTCTGATTATATGTTACTGCTTAACTATTTCCAACTGCATGCACCAGGGCTAGGGAAGCTCTGCCTCTGAGGGAAAGCAAAAGGGAGCATGGAAAGGACCTGAATTAAGCATTTATGCTGGCACTGTGCCATTCCTGGCATTGACTGGCTGAAGATTCAGAAGGCAAAACATTTCATGGTTTATTTCATTCTGTTCAGAAAATACAACAAATGTCTGTTATTTCTTCTCCTGATACACCATGTCCATTAGCTCACTAATATATAATCAGAAAATTGGATGAATCCTCGCTTTTCTTAACTAATGGTAGGGTTTCAGTCCCAAGAGTCTCTGTGGCTAATGCAGCATTTACAGGTTGGATCTGGTCAGTCATTTCCCTGTGGCCTTTAACTTGATTCCCACTTGGTTTGATAAGATAAAAATTTGTTCTTGGGAACTTGAGATTCAGTTAATTTTTGTAAATATCCAAATGTCTGGAGACTGAAGAAATAAACACCAAAAAAAAGTTTTCAGGGCTGTAATATGGATATGCTGGTTTTTAGTTGTGCTGGCAGAGTTAAGGACATTGGAGAAGATGAAATCTTCCAGAAGGAAAGGTTCTACTGCACTTTGAAGAAGATATTTTTCTCCCTCTTTAGTTGTCTTTGAAATGTCAAAAAAATCCAAACAAACAAACCCAAAAACCAAAACCCCTTCTCCCCCCCCAGACAAAGAAAATAAACAATTCAAGGTAAGCCATGATTTGATTTAGTGAAACAGAAGATATTGTTTTTTGGGAAAAGTGAAGATCTGGGTTGGTTTGCTGCTGGTTTAATCTGTCAGCTGTCAGTGTCTGTAATTCTTGGGGAAAAAGAAAATAGTGTAAGGGGTTTTGTTGCAAAAGGTGATCCACTGGCTTTTGGATGGAAATGCTGTCCCTGGAGCCAGTGACCCTTTTTACACTCTGCTGGTCTTGTTTGCTGTCTGCCATATCCAATACTTCCTAGGTTAGACAGGTCATTGCAATGGTTCTGAATTCCTTTCTATTCACTGTCTAAATTCCAATTGCTTTTTTTCTTTCTTTATTCTTTTCCTTCTTCCTGCCTGTCTTATTTCTATAAGTTGGTGCTGTGCATCTGCTCTGGTAGAAAATGTACAGTCTTCCCTGTTTTTAGATACTAACAGGGAAGGGAAAGATGGCTCAATTCTGGCAGTTCAAGCTGCTGGGGGACACTGCAGGAGCTTCATTTATCCCCCTTTGTCCCACAGTGAAGTGGAAGTGGTTGTTGCCTTTGGTGTTTCTGAGGATCTGGGTGGTGCCTGGCTTTCCCTTGCATGTGTGAATTCCTGCTCCAGGCATCCCCACAAAGCCCTCATCTGTGAGCACTCTCACATCCTTGTCAAACTCCACAGGTGCTTGTTTTTATTCATGCTGAAGACCTGGTTACCATATGATGACTCTTTCTAGGATTCAGCAAGGTTTTTTGGAAAGGCTAAAGCTGAAAGAAATATCTGCTCTTTCCTGGATCTCCATGGGCTGCAGAGGAATCTTGGCCCTGGCACCTGGGGCAGTTCCTGCCCTTCCTCCTTCACTGCAGGGCTGTTCCTCTCCTATTCCCATTCCTCTCTCCAGCTGCTGATTTGCAGTTTTCCTTGCCCTTCTTAACTCTGTTATCCCAGAGGTGATGCTACTGTCCCTGATGGGCTCAGGCTCCATTGCAGAGCTGACGGCTCCATCAGACATGGGAAGCTCCTGGCAGCTGCTCCAGAAGCCACCCTGCTACCAGAACCTGGCCTCACAAACTCACACAAAAGCCAGCTTAGCTGTAAGCAGGTTTATTTTACCATCAGCACACTCTAGCCCTGATCTTAGCAGTGGACTCCTATTAGAAAGTGTCACTGAAACACAGGCAGCTAAAGGCCAACATGGTTTGTTGTTCTTTTTCTCCTTTTCCCACTAAAGTTGCTTTTTTGAAGCCTGTCATTGATGATATGACTAAAGACTCACCAAAACAATTGACGTTGACAACTGTTGGCTTGTTATTTAGGCAAAATACTATTGACAGAACGACAAACGTTTCTCAGGAGAAACTATTCCATATTGACATCTGTTAGCTTATATCCAGGGAATAATTAATATCAAACCAACACAAGACTTTATATTTTTAAAGCAGTCATCTAGTCCAAATTCAGATTATTGTCCTTATTATATGGACTAGACAATCATTCCTGTCACCTTGCTTTGCCTGTTCGTGTTCAGATGTATCTCTGTGCCCACACATAATTGGCACTGATGTGTTTCACTGTTGTGTGTCAGGCAGAGGTTTTGGGGTTTTGTTTTCCAGGCATCTGAGAGAGTGACCAGAATTCTGAAAGAGGATATCATTAAACCATAACTTTGCAATTCACTTCTCTCCCAGCTGTGTTTGGTGTGAAAATAATACAGTTTATACATCCTTATTATACAAGACATTTTTATCACCAGCTTATCCTTTTGGCTTCAGGGATTTTTAGCATTAGCTTTCTTAACATTTGCAGTCCGTTATGTGGCAAGAGAAGGGATAACATTATACTAAGAGGAAAAATTTGGGGATATTCTTTTCTTAGATTTCAGAAATAAAAATAAAATTGCCATGTATAATGAATTTGGTCTTTATTTTGGGTAATTAATTTAAAATTGAGCGAGCTAGCTCAGTTTAGACCATTCAAAACATCTGAAATCATTCAAGCAGATTGGGGTGTAGTAACTCTATTTGTGTGGTTCTGGACTGTTTGCTCTCACTCTGCAGCTTTGAACAATGACCTGCTCAAATGCAAGAATTCCAAATGCCACATTTCTGTGATGGGGAATTCCTCATGCTTAGAGCATAGGCTGGCTGTGGGCAGTTTGCTGCATTTCACTGATTGTCAGCAGTGGATTTCTGAGTGTTAAAATAATGCAAACCCATAAATCAGTAGGAACAGATAACCTTCCCTATCACACATGCAGCCTATGTCATGGGCATATCATTTGGGAGAAAAAAGGGAAATGTAAATAAGATTCAGTTGCAGACATAAATAGAGTGTTAGGACTGAATTTGTTTAAATTGTCAGATTTTGTGTCATTTCAGAGCTCTGTTCTTACAGCCTCGTTAGGAATCTCTTTGCTTTCTCATTCACATACCATGCACCCTTTACACACTTCAGTAGCCAGCTCTTCTTTGCACAGCATGGAAATTCTTTACACCTTGTGTAAAGAAGAAGGTGAAGAATCATACTCTGGTTTGGGGACTCCAAACTCTGCGGCTGAGGAGCTGCTCCAGTGCACAATGCCTGTGTGCTGCCCTGCTCTGCACTGTTCCTCAGGTGTTAACCCCCTCATCTGCCATCTACAGAGATTGATCAAAACCTAAATAGTTTGTTAAAGAAGTTAAGTGCTATGAAAATCATAAAAGTTATCACTGTTCCCCACTGCTTATTACAGAGCCCCCTCCTCCTGGCAGTTTGGTGCTCAGCACTGGTTTTGT